TTAGCAATAGCAAAAAAAGCTTCTTTGGTTCCTGCATTCATGTGCTCTGTACAACCCTGGATGGTTGTCAACAGCAAATATTATTTTCTAAACGAAGAGTGCACCTCAGGAGGCAACGTATACTCTAGGAAGGTGTATTAAAAACAACACATATTTATTAGGAGAGTTGAGGGACTGGATAGTTTCACCCTAATGTTTGAACTGCAAGTGAAAGAGGGATTGGTTCACCAAAGGAAAACTACTAACTAGATAAAAAATAATGAAGGTGAAGAAAGAGATAAAGATGAGTTTGAGATGTACGACCCAAAGTGGAAAGAAATCTATGGCATTAACCAAGCTAAAACTTTGAAATAGGGACCATGGGTTCATCTCTGAATATAGTGGAGGTGCCACCAGAACATCCACATGTAATATCCAATATTGTTGATTGTTGATTAGTGCTGTAGAGTTGGTTTCAACTCATAGCAACCCTACATAGGGTTTCCCGAAGATCGGTAGGTGGGTTTGAACCACTGACTTGGGGTTAAAATGGACCTTTCAGTCCAGTGCTTATCCTGCAGAGGATCGGTAGGTAGGTTTGAACCACTGACTTGGGGTTCAAATGGACCTTTTAGTCCAGAGCTTATCCTACAGAGCTTATCCTACGAGAATCGGTAGGTGGGTTTGAACCACTGATGTGGGGTTCAAATGGACCTTTTAGTCCAGAGCTTATCCTACAGAGCCACATGAGCACTCCATAATATACAATAGCAGTAGGAAATTTGGGTCTTGGGGTCAAGCAGAGGATGTAAGTTTAAAAGTCCTTTGTTTGGCGATGAATAAAAAGGGCTTAGGGAAACATGAGATCTGTGCTGTAGTGGCCTACTTTGGAGGGTCTGAATTCTGTTCTAACCAGGAATGGTGATGTTCAAATCTGTTTCATTCTCTCTATGTTTAACTTAAGGAGCTCTGGTAGTGTAGTGGTTACGAATAGGGCTGCTAACCTCAGGGTCAGCAGTTCAAAACTACCAGCTGTTCCATGGGAGAAAGATGAGGCTTTCTGCTCCCATGGAACAGAAAGATTTACAGCCTCGGAAACCCTGTACAGGGTCGCTATGAGTCAGAACCGACTCCACAGCACATAACAGCAACAACAAATATTTAACTAAGACTCAGAACTTAATGACTCTTCTGGGTTTGTAACATTCAAAAGTCTGGAGAGGTTATCTCCAAACTGTGACCCTTTAGTTTTCTGACATCTTGGAATCTCCTGTATCCAGTCTCTCCGGTTCATGCAGCTGCTCATGATTCTGCATCAACTGGACCTAGGTTTGAAGAGGTAATATAAGATTAACTTAAAGGTAGTGGCCAGTCCTCCGGGTGAAAATGCTCAGTAGATAGCTGGAGTTCTGAGGCTGACCTCTCGGAAAAGTCAAGATGAGAGGTAGGGAGTGAGCATTGCCTATGGAGAGGTCGATGGCTTAGTCTGTGAGATCAGGTTAGCTTCCCAAGGGATAATTGTACGGACGGAAAGGTTAGAGTCTTAGGACTGAGACTGTGGGAAAACCATGCCTTAGGAGGTAGAAGGAAGAAAATGAGACAGGACCAGAGAAGAAAGAAATGGCTAAAAGAAGGAGGAGGAATACAGATGTCGCGATAGCTAGGGGAGGCGGAAGTTTCAAGGAGAGGGTTCCACAGTGTAGAGAGGTGAGGAAGACTGAAATGGACAAAAAAGCACCCGGATTTTTTTTTTTTTTTAATTGATGATTTTTCCGAGTTTTGGTAAATGATGCAATGGAAGCCAGGTTTCAGGGAAATGGGGAAAAATGGATGGCATGGAAATGGGCACCAATCAAACTGACACAATGTTCATGGCACTGTGCCTGTACTGTTGTGAATTCATTATCACTATCCTCCAGGAATATCATACTAAGCTGAGACAATAAGGAATCCAGGAAAACATTCATTGCTGTAAATTCAAAAGATGTCATAAGGTGGACCTTGATTAATTGCCTAACACATGATGTAGACAGTAGCAATATGAATACTAGTTCCGTGTTAAGAGAAGGTGCTTTCGTTTGGAATCCTCTAAGAAAATGTCTTTTATCTGTCCCGGCTTCTCCTAGCCTAGCGGCCAACTATTCCTATTAGTTAAGTCCTTCTAAGTTTCCATAAATTAGGATACCAGAGAATCAAGACTGTTTGATTCAGTAAAGATCAGAATGCCATGCATACAGTCCAGAGAAATAACATGTGCAGCCCAACAAGAGTGCTGTAAAAGCACATAGACTCTTCCTGCTGAGGGTGACCTAGTCTGCCCTGGCCATTTACAAAATGGGTCGTTCTAATAGTAAAGATTTAGGGTTACATGGAGCAGATGAGCAGTGGCAAGTCAGGACTCTTGTACTGGTGGAAAGTATGGAGCTGTTAAGGGCTGTAGTATGCACCCACAGATCATTTAAACAATACAAATATACTATAGTGGTGCACACACAGATTGTTCACTAGTAATAGCATGTTTGTCCTATCAGAGCCAGAACCCCCACATGGAGAATAGCTAGCACGCTGTAAATAGAACTCAGTGTTCACTCTTCAAAAATGATGGTAGGTCAGTGTTCACTCCTGGGCGGGCATGCCTTGTGTATCAGCTGTACTGTACCCACTTCACCTCTAGCTCTGCTCCAGCAGTATCAGGACAGCCCATGACCAGCAGCACCATAACTCTTGAAGCTGAGCTCCTCTGAGGGCAACCCCTATGTGGGACACGCCTAGGCAAGATGTGCACTCAGGGCAGAGTTTCTGCAGTTGCCCCACCTGCTTAGGGCTTCCCAGCCTGCTCACGGTATCCACTGCTTCTGATGCTGTAGAAGCCCTAACCACATTACAGTTCTCAGACTGCTCTGCTGCCTCTTCTCTGGTCAGCAGATGAAAGCCAGGTTCTGCCTTTTCTGACCTCGGCCTCTGTGTCTTCCAGGTCTACCTCCTACTACGTGTTGATGGTGCAGAAATGGCTATAATTTCACTTTCTTCCGATACCATCTTAATGTTGTAGGGAGAAACACATCCCCCCCCCCCCATTACTCATTAAGGTTAGATACATTTGTTTGAGCATAAAAAGTAATGCAAGCTTGGGATGGTTAGAAAACTAGATGGCACCTTGCAAGACTGGTGTGGAATGTATCATTTTTCCTTCATGGGTGTTTATTGATCTGGAATGCCTTGGGTTTTTAAGAATAAGTAGCCTGTTATACCCTGCCACTAGATAAAACTGACACCAGACATGTCTCCATCCTCTAAGAAGGGCCTTGTTTGCATCAATGCATGGAAGTGCTTCTCTATCAAAGAAAACCATCATAAAGTGAGCCTCTCCTTACATTTGCTCAGAGCCACATTGCTAAGTGGGAAGTTGAACCCAAGCTTTCTAAACTGCAGAGCTTGAGCACTATGCTTCCCAAATTGCACAGAGTGGCTAAATTCACCCAACATAATGTCCTCCGGATTCATTCAAGATGTGAGGTGTTTGGCAGGTTCATCCTTATTCTTCAACGTTGCATAGTATTCCATTGTGTGCATGTACCCATCACAAAAGGACAAATACTGCATGAGACCACCATTGTAAAAAGTTAAGAAGAGGTTTTCTTGATAAAAGAAACATTCTGTGATGGTTTACTGGGGGTGAGGGGATAAGGGAGGAAATAATTATTAACAGGTGAGAGGGTAGACATGTTAATATGAGTGACAGGACAGGCAGTATACAACAAGAGGGAGGTTGGCAGAGGAAAGATGAAGGTAATGGGATACACAGGAAAAAAATACAAGGGTTAAAGTGAATACAGGTAAGTACTGTTAACTGATGGTACATGAAGGGGATTGCAGTCATTGTAAGGAGGCAAAGCATATGATTGTTGAATGTAAAACTGATGATCTGCTCTGTAAACCTTTACTCGATTAATAATAAGTTTTTTTAAAGTTGCACAGAGTGCTACTAGAAGTCAGGAGACATGAGTTTTAGCTATAGTGCAATGATTATTTAATTAGTTATATGAATAAATACATCATGTCCTCTCTGCGGACTTCGGTTTCCTACTTTCTCTGAACTAGATGATTGTGTTGTCAGAATGATCCAATCTGGAATTTCAGGATTTATTCTTATTACTGTACCAGTAGATGGAGCCTAGTTGTTGACATAACCCAGTAGATTGAGCCTAGGGTTGACATAAAAAACTGTCACTGAGTTGATTCTGACTCATGTCAGTCTTATAGAACAGAGTAAACTGTTCCTTTGGGTTTCTGAGACTGTAAATCTTACAAGAGCAAACAATCTCATCTTTCTCCTGAGGAGTGCCTGGTTGGGTTTGAACTGCTGACCTTGCAATTAGCAGCCCAACATTTTATCTACTATGCCACCAGGGTTCTTTAGAGTTGACCTAGTAGCATATTTTCCTCTGATTGAAGCTAATGATACACAGTATATTTTCTTCTGAGAAAAGTAGCTTGGAGTAATGGAGTAATATGAACGACAGTGAAATTGCTTGGAGGGTAGAGAATCAGGGCAGTGAGGTATACTGAAAAGAACACTGGACTGAAATCTGGGACATCTAGGGTCTAATCCCAGCATTGACACCTACTCATTGTGGGGCCTTGGGTGACCACACAATATATAGTTTTCCCATTTGTAAAGTCAAGTTTTGAACTAACGTTTATATGACCAATCATTAGAATAATTATCCTCTGCTATTAGCCACTATGAGTCAAAAGCAACTCAGTGGCACTTAATAGCAACAAAAACATTGAGCTTCCTAGTCTAAGTTCTAGACAGGTCCTGTTGTTGTTAAGTGTCGTTGAGTCAGTTCTGACTCATAGCGACTCTGTGTAGAGTTTCCAAGGAGCAGCTGGTGGGTTTGAATTGTTGACCTTGTGCGCAGTCCCGTCCTTATCCTACAGCACCACACCAGAACTCCTACTTATGTTTGCCTAGAAATGTTTGCTGCTAAATGGCTGGATTGTCTGATATTTCTAAGCAGAGCACAGACTGTGACTTCTGACCAGGAGAAACAATTGTTGCATCAGCTCCGAGAAATCACCAGGGTCATGAAAGAAGGAAAATTCGTTGACAGACCTAGTCCAGAGGAAGAAGCTGAGGAGGCCCCTTACATGGAGGACTGGGAAGGTAAACAATGTCTTCTCATTTCTTTGTTAGTTGTTGGCACTGAAAAGAGATCTTACAAATTTTATTCAGCTTTTTATTATTGAGGCATAATGTATATACAATAAAATTCACCAATTTTAAGTTTATGGTTGGATGTTGGGTTTTTGGGAAGTGGATAAAGTTGTGTAATCATACCACAATCATGATTTGGAATATTTCTATCTCCCCAAAAAGTCCCCTTCCCTCTGCAGTAAATCTCCTTCTGCGCCTGGCAACAACTGAACCACTTTCTGTTCCTACGGTTTCTGTATAAATGGGTCATATTGCGTAAGCTCTTCTGTTTTTGTCTCCTTTGAATTAGCATGCTGCTTTTGAGAATTCATGTGTGTTATTGCATGTTTCAGGGTTTTTTGTTGTTAGGTGCCATCAAGTCGATACTGACCCATAGCAACCCTAT